CCTATATGTAGTAAATACTAGAGCATTCGCCAAGGTACAGGATAGTTCTAGAAAATAGGTGGCGCCACACCAGTCACGTGACTCGCTGACGCAACAGCTGAATTTTTTAGAACAGACAAGCTAGAGACTGAAGTGCTAGACAAGAAAAAAATTAATAACGAAAGTGAAATCTAATATATTGTTTTTTTTTCTTTTACTATAAGTGTTCCTGCTGAAATTAATGACGAGGCCTCCTTGTATAGTAGTTTGAGTCATTCAATATAATTTATACTTTTTCATTGAAATTATGCATATAAACTAACCTTAGAAAAGTAAATGAATTAAATAATGTAGACAGATGGGCTTTAAAAAACCAAAAATCTAGAGATAAATTAATTTGAAATAAATATACACTATTATTGATACCAGATGTCAGGCTAATCATTATTTAATTCAAAGATAATCGTTGACGTTTCGGTAACTCGTATAACTTAGCGCCCTCTATCCCACTACGATTTCATTTAGCAGTTGATGTATCAATCGGAGATAGGCAATTATAAACACTTAACTATTAGGCTTAATGTTTCACTACTAATTTGAAAAATGATTAGTTGGTTTTACCCCCAAATATTTTATCTTCCACATTTAACAAAGAGTTAGGAACATAGCCTGTCTTCATATTTATTCACTTTTTTTTCGAATATATTTTGAAACTATATTGATAGGATTTTTTTTGCAAATTCTTTTACTTGTTAAAAAAGTTTTTTTTTATTAAAAATTACTCAGTACTTCTTTACGAAATCCAAAATAGATTGCATAATAAAAAACAAACCAAAGATAATTAACAAAATTCTTTAAAAAACAGACAACTAAAAAATTAATTGGTTTATTTGAAGTGGCTTGGAACATTCAAAATTTCTGTTCTTTGTGAATGTAACTGAAATAGGGTTTGAGTTGTGTAAAGTTATCAAGTGGAGCTTAGTTTCACAGACCTAAGAGGCGGGAGCCGTCAGAATATTTATTTCTATTATTTGATGACGTCACAATGTATGGTGACACAGGAAAAGTAATTCAAATGTAAAAGAATGACATGCCGCAAAGTAGGCCTGCATAAACGATATGAATTGGTAAGATTGCGATAACTTATCTTTAAACTTACGTATGTCCTTGGGCATTGTTTTCATAATTTATTACAACAGGAACGGCGATCCTCCTCAATGCAGCCCTGAATTGAAAACTTTTCAGTTTTCCTTTTCATGAATGTGTCACAATCACAAAAACAATACAAGCGAAACAGTTGTATGTACCTTTATCTATACCAAGATATTTTCCAAATACTACGATTAGGTAAACCATTTTTGGTAATTTTTAGCAAATAGATAGTAATGATAAATAATGTAACATCGTTCTTTTAAATTATTTGGTAAAAATAATTCGAAGTCCAATTCACGTAGCAATAATTTGTTTGTTTCTCCCTCTGCCTTCACTTGTACATTGTTATAACTTGTAGGCCTAAGTAATTTTACAAATGGTGATCAAACGGAAATAGCTCACTAATGGCACAACGACTAACGTAAAAGTATATTATTCGTATAATTTCACAGCTAATCAATTGAATAACTGAAATGACACAATAACTAACACTTCATTTGAATCAGGTCCAATTTTGTTATACACATTTATGTTAAATATATGTAAATAAAGTACTGAAATAATTTTTTAAAATTGACACTGTTGATAAGTGTATGGATATTTACATGGTATTTGAAGTTATTAAATTCAACCAAATCATGTATTCTTCCTCTTACTTGAAAGTGTACTTATTAATAACTTACAGGCATCTTGTTAGGGATGATTTCTTTTATGTTCTGATAAATATATATTTTAAGATTTGCTGTAAATTTAAAATCATTGTTAAATATCTGCACGATTTTATACATAAGATATATATTTAGTTTTTAAATATTGATATCTTAATATTCTTGTTTAATAGCTAGAAACCATTACAAGTTCATCAAAAAGAAACATCGACAATATCACAAAAACGTATTTCATTTCAAATGCAATGATTTATTTCAAGGTATTTACAATTTTTTACAAAATTCATGGTTCGAAAGATGATAATATGACAGGCACTTGAAAATGCATACATCACACTAATGTTTGAACTTGTTGGAACAAGTTTTCAACATAAAAACTATGACTGATATATTAAAATAGGTTTGAGGAAGCTTTTGTGTAAAAACACCATTTTACAGTTGATTCATAACTTTAAAACAACATGTACCCTCTATATACAATACAATAATAAAGACCACAAAAACCTAATGTTGAACTGAAAATAGAAACACTGACAACAGCATCAGTAAAATAAAATCTTTAAGGATTGGAAAGTGTAAACAATTGTACAGACTGTCTTTTAGATCACACACACTCTCACACACATTGGCACTGCAAGTAAAACAAGAGTTTCATTTGTACAAAATAGTTTAAACAGACTTTAATAACCTATTGAAAACCTTGATCTCTGTTTCAGTAACAAAACTAACAGTTGTCTTCCACATCTGATACTGTTCAAATCACTGCTGAAACGTATATTTTAAATAAAACAAGTTGCCTGAAACAAAGTGAGCTTTAATTTAATAGAAGTGGCTTTTATTAGCAAACACACATTCCAAATTGACAATAGAATAAAAATGATTTTCAAATCCAGACAATCTGTATGTCAGCAACGTTATAATATTTCGAGACAGATAATGGTACTCTGTCTCATGTGTATTGCCTTTGAACAGTGTTACTCAGTATTCTGTCTTTGAACAGTGTTATTCAGTACTCTGTCTCACATGTACTGCCTTTGAACTGTGTTACTCAGTACTCTGTTTCATATGTACTGCCTTTGAACAGTGTTATTCAGTACTCTGTTTCATGTGTACTGCCTTTGAACTGTATTACTCAGTACTCTGTGTCATGTGTACTGCCTTTGAACAGTGTTACTCAGTACTCTGTCTCGTGTACTGCCTTTGAACAGTGTTACTCAGTACTCTGTCTCACGTGTACTGCCTTTGAACACTATTATTCAGTACTCTGTCTCATGTGTACTGCCTTTGAACAGTGTTACTCAGTACTATGTCTCATGTGTACTGCCTTTGAACTGTGTTACTCAGTATTGTCTCATGTGTACTGCCTTTGAACTGTGTTACTCAGTACTCTTGTTTCATATGTACTGCCTTTGAACTGTGTTACTCAGTACTCTGTCTCATGTGTACTGCCTTTGAACAGTGTTATTCAGTACTCTGTCTCACGTGTACTGCCTTTGAACTGTGTTACTCAGTACTCTGTCTCATGTGTACTGCCTTTGAACAGTGTTACTCAGTACTCTGTCTCATGTGTAGTGCCTTTGAACTGTGTTACTCAGTACTCTGTTTCATATGTACTGTCTTTGAACTGTGTTACTCAGTACTCTGTCTCATGTGTACTGCCTTTGAACAGCGTTATTCAGTACTCTGTTTCATGTATACCACCTTTGACCTGTGTTACTCAGTACTCTGTCTCACGTGTACTGCCTTTGAAAAGTGTTATTCAGTAATGTGTCTCAAGTGCACTGCCTTTGAACTGTGTTATTCATATTCTATCTCATGTGAACTGCCTTTGAACACTGTTATTCAGTAATGTGTCTCAAGTGCACTGCTTCTGTACGATGTTATCTGTCTTTTTATGATATTATTGAATCATGATTTACTTTACAGTACAGGTGTGGCGATCATTAAAATCCATAACTTGCAGAGTGACATTTTTATGATGCCATTTTTTACAGTGTGGGTGTGATCACCACCCCCTTCAAACAGAAGTTTTTTGAGTCTTCCCACCTCACTGATATGTTTTAGCAGAGTAATAAGTGTAACTGGTATTTATAGCATGACTTTTACAGGTAACACAAACACAGTAATCAAGACTCTGTTTGGCTTATAACAAAAAATGAACAATATTTTGAGACTAGTCTAGGTAAGTAGCATATGAAAGAATTATTCTTATGGAGTATAAAAGTTAGAAATAACAAAAGCACATCATCTTACTTCAGAGATATGAAAATTATAGAAATTTTAAATTTTACAACAAAATATTTATAAAAATATTTCAATTTTGCTTTCATGAAAATCAAGACAATTTCAGATCACCAAAAACAAAAGAAATCAAGTTCAGTAATACTTTGTTATTATATATATATATATATATATATTGTATAATCTATGTTTACAAAATGCTTTAATAAGTAACAATACACCAACAACAAGCTTATTAACACATCATCTCTCAATGAAAATTATGATTGTGCTGAAATTAAAAGATATCAACTATACAAAACAGCCGGATTTTTTTATACTTAAATATTTTATCAGTTGGATTATTTATGAAATACATTTTACTCACAGACTTTGAGATTTTTAAACCAAATCCTTTTTTATAAAATAAATTTATCGAATATTGAGTAACTTAATGAAAATTACAATATAGTCCCATTTTATTACTGAATGAGGCTTTGACGAAACAGATGAGAACGATATGTAAAGTTTCGTAATTACTGTAAGTCTTTCAGTAATAGCATGTGAAAACTGTTATGTTTACTACACAAATATTTAGTGCTCACTCTTTGAAAACAAGTACTTTAAGATCAAAAACCGATGTAAAATATTAGGGTTTAAAAAGAAAATTAAATGAAGTAATACTTTATTGAAGAAAAGATGAGATATCCAAGATCAACATCTTGTAGAGTTCTATAATCGGCCAGCCTCGTATCCCGGAAATATCAGCTGCAGTACCTCACCAAGAGATTTATTAATTTCAAGACTGTATCTTTTACCGAGGCTACTGCGACATGCTGGACAAGAGTAGACTTCTGCACGGAAGGACCGTTGGAGACAAGACTGAAAAACAACATTAGTTAATTAGAAAATTAGCTTAATTCATTATCAATATATTTGTTTCTCAGAATTTTTAACAAGTAAAACATGTCAGATTCTAACATGAAACAAAACCCATAAAATGGTCACCCATGAACAGTAGTTTGAAGTTAAAGTCAATATCACAAGTTATTATTACGATATACTAAATATGCTTCTTGAAGTTGGAAACCTGACCTGATTTGTGACGTAATGACTTAAAACATTTTAACAGTTTATTGACCATCACTAATAGTTGCAAAGACAAATAATACGGTGTTACTCACCATTAACCACCAGTCCTGCTAGACAAAATATAGTGTTTCTTACTACAAACCATCAGTCTTGCTAGATGAAATATACAGTTACTTACCATAAACCATCAGTCCCGTTAGACGAAATATACAGTGTTACTTACCATAAACAGTCAGTCCTGCTAGACGAAATATACGGTGTTACTTACCATAAACCGTCAGTCCTGCTAGACAAAATATACAGTGTTACTTACCATAAACCACCAGTCCTGCTAGATGAAATATACGGTGTTACTTACCATGAACCATCAGTCCTGCTAGACAAAAATGTACAGTGTTACTTACCATAAATCACCAGTCCTGCTAGATGAAATATACAGTGTTACTTACCATAAACCACCAGTCCTGCTAGACGAAATATACGGTGTTACTTACCATGAACCATCAGTCCTGCTAGACAAAAATGTACAGTGTTACTTACCATAAACCACCAGTCCTGCTAGACAAAAATGTACAGTGTTACTTACCATAAACCACCAGTCCTGCTAGACAAAAATGTACAGTGTTACTTACCATAAATCACCAGTCCTGCTAGATGAAATATACGGTGTTAATTACAAAAAATGAACATATACCCTGACCAATAATTCTTCAAGTACCAGACAGAAGTATTTTTTCTTTGCCTAACTTAATTATTAATATTTAATGAATTTTTCTAGATCATAACAGTATTTAAAAGATTCTTTCAGACCAATAAATATCTCTTGTCCATATGAGAAACATTACCTTGCATATATTATGTGAACATTCAGTAGTCACTGGATTGAACACCACTTCTTGACAACATATGCACAAAAACAGCTCCTCTACTCTCTTGAAGAAGACCTGGTGCAAACAAAGAACTTATGTTGGAAACATTATATTGTCCAGTGTTATCTGTTACCATTATTATGCTGAAAATAACTTTAAGGTCTAACGTGTCTAGTGTTATCATTTTATATTAAAAACATCTTAAAGGTCAGCTGTTTGTCCAGTTATCTGGTAAATTTATTATGTTAGAACATTCTTAGGGTCTGCTGTTTGTCCAGTTATCTGGTAATATTGTTATGTTAGAACATTCTTAGTGTCTGCTGTTTGTCCAGTTATCTGGTAATATTGTTATGTTAGAACATTCTTAGTGTCTGCTGTTTGTCCAGTTATCTAGTTATATTGTTATGTTAGAATATTCTTAGGGTCTGCTGTTTCTTACTTGTTGGAATAACTGAAAACACTAACCAGAATAGGTTTAGCCCACTCAATGATAACTAATAGTTAATATTTATTGGGACAATTTTAGTGTTTTGTAACCTACCTGCTGACCCTCCTTTACAACAGCTGTACACTCATTCCAAAGCTTCTGGTTTAACTTATCTTTCTTAATCAGTTTATTAATATCACCAGGAATCTGGTACACTGCTGATTTCTTCTTCTTAAGAGTTGAAGAGTCACAGCCTGAGTCTCCTACAGCAGTTAGAAATCACAAAGAGTCTGGTTTAGCAAAAAACATTTAGACTAAGCAAAGCAATTCCTTTTTAAGTGATTTTATAAAATATTTGTTTAAAAAACACCTTTTACCATGACGAATAAATACTTTTACAAAACTCCCACTACTTATTACCTCTCGATCTCTTGCCTTTGCCTTTTTTTCCATCTTCTGGCTCAGGTTTCACTTTGGCTGCCAAAGCCTCAAGATAACCTTCAGGATACTTTAAAAAATATTTCAAATATTAGGAATAGAAAAAAAGAATGTCTGTATAACAAGGTGAATGGTACACAGCGAGACTAAATCACTAACAGACAGACATTTCAACTACAGTGATTACAATCAATAAATATGAATAACTATCTTTCAGGAAATTAAAAATTATTCTACTTTTAAATATGGCTTACAAGTATTTACAAACTGTAATATACAACAGTTCTGCTGAGAACATATTTGATGGATTAACCAAGGCTTGTGTCTAGTTGAAGCACGAGGGATTAGATTTCTTTAAAATTCATTCATCTGATAATATATAACCAAATTCATAAGCTAGAGCAGAACACGAAGCTTAACTTAAAGAGTTGTTTGAAATAAAACTGTAACTGAAATTTTTAATACTAAACATAACATTTATTTTTCTAACTCCAAACACTTAATACAATCTTTGTTTACTTAACACAATGTACATCTTTTGTGTCATGTCAAACACTTAATACAGTCTTTGTTTACTTAACACAATGTAATCTTTTGTGTCACAACAAACAGTTAAGACATGTTAAGTAAACAAAGACTATTAAGTGTTTCATCTGACACAAAATATGTACATTCTGTTAAGTAAACAAAGACAATGTAATCTTTTGTGTCACAACAAACAGTTAAGACATTCTTTGTTTACTTAAGATAATGTACATATTTTGTGTCACATGAAACACTTAGTACAGTCTTTGTTTACTTAACACAATGTAATCGTTTGTGTCACAACAAACAGTTAAGACATTCTTTGTTTACTTAAGATAATGTACATATTTTGTGTCACATCAAACACTTATTATAATTTTTGTTTACTTGCAGTTTCAAAATAAAACATCTCTAGGATACACACAGTGAGAAAAGTTTTATGAAAGTTTACCTCCATTATAAGTCCAAGTTCCTTTATTCGCTTCTTTCCCGCTTTTGTCCACGGTGCAGGAGCAGGATCATCACGACGAAGAAGGTATCGCCATACTAAGAATCCAGATTTACCTTTCTCTGACCAGTACTTGACAACCTATGTTTTTCAACAAAAAATAAGGAGCTCATCAGAATGACTACTTTGTGTGAAACAACCATTACAATAGATAATCTTGTGTGAAACAACCATTACAATAGATAATCTTGTGTGAAACAACCATTACAATAGATAATCTTGTGTGAAACAACCATT